AATAAAATGTTTTTAATTGTGTACCAGTTTACTGTTGAATATTATTTATGATTTTAATTTTATACACAAGTGCCAAAATACTATAAGAACGTTACAACGTCATCCTCATGTAGAGTCGTCAACTTTTTGAAGGCCACATATAGGCCTAAATTAAAATGTTTTTAATTGTGTACCAGTTTAATGTTGAATATTATTTATGATACAGTGTTCTTATTGCATGTACAATGGATTTATTTATTCTTTTACGTTGTAAAAATACTCAGTCTTTTCCATGAAAATGTTGTTGATTTAGCTCTAGATTTGGCTTGTACAAGTAAATAAAACAATCTATAAGATGGAATGAACTTTATCATAAATATTTCAAATAATTAATATTTAATACTTAACAGTATTACTCTTTGTTGGTAACTTCTTAGGAGGCAGTAGAGAAAGAGTTCATTATAATTATTCTTAGTATTGTTGTGATAGAATATGAAGTATTTAACAACCTGGTGGGTCAGCAAAAGGTTTACAGGTTTATATCATTGTGTCTCCCTGTGGGACAGCGGTAAGTCTTCGAATTTACAATGCTAAAATTAGGGGCTCGATTCCCCTCGGTGGACACAGCAGATAGCCCGATGTGGCTTTCCTATAAGAAAGTACACACACACACTTATATCATTGATATGTGGAGGTTCGATTCTCGGTGGTGGGTAGAGCGCAGATGGCTCATTATATAGCTTTATATATATATATATATATATATATTCATACTTTCTTTGCTGTTCAAAATCGTTGACTGTGGTGAGGTTTCTTGTTTATTTCTCTCTGCCCAGTCTTCAAGCGATCAAAGGTCGAGTTGAAACTTCCAAGGCCTCTCAAACTGTTAATACAGCTAACACGAAGGTCCATATGCTCGTCGTTTATAAGTTATTATATACACTTTGCACATTATATAAAAAGCTATGAATCTGTACACAGAACTAATATAGACGCTCTTTACAAATAATCAAAAATATATGAACTTGTAATACGTTACATTTATATTTCTCTCTACTGAGGGTTTTTATTTATTTCTTATGAAATATATTATTTCTATCATAACAATAAATTTCATTCAGTATATTCATATTCTAAATGCTTGAAATGTTTGTGCTATATTAATTACATTGAATATATAATATTCAACTGTTAAAAATATTACTATAATTTAATATTTCAGTTTCAGTTTTTTCGCTTGTAAAATTATGTTTTCGTGTATATTCTTGGTTAAGCCCTCATAACAATACGTTATTATAAATATTTTACTTGCAGATGTTGCAAGTGATTGAGGACATATACCATATAATTTTATTTAGCTATTTCTTTCACATTAATTAAAATTCTTTTCCGAACCTTTCTGTGTATTCTTAATAAAATTACTTTGTTTGTTTGTTTTCTATTACAGTGTGGGAGATCTAATTTACAACTATATTAGGTGTTTTCTATCTCATATATTTAGTAGAGGGAACACTTAAATTTCGCATAAAATTTCTAACACTTTTCGTGCATACACGTCTATGTAGTTTTAACAGTAGAACATTTATCAAGAAATATGGCTAAATTCTTCTCGCTTTAGTTGCCTATTGTTTTGGGTCATTCTCCTTTGGTTTCGCAAAAGCTTTCGCTAAAGAAATATCGCTGTAAAGTAGAGCATGCTATGTAAAGGTGGTCAGTAAATTTTTCTACAGACGATACTGGTGGTAGCTGAAAGATGTCATCTCTTTTATATTTTAATTGGAATGTCTAAGAATACTGTGAGGGATTGCATTATAGATACTTTTATATAATTTTGTGTTCCCCCAATCTAGATCACCTTTAGTTATAACAATGTGTTAGATAACATAACCAATGACAAGTTACACAACATTTTATCCTTAAACTGCAAAGGTACTTTATGCCCTACTCTGATTTTCCTATTGATCATGTGCTCTCAGGGAATCACGGTATCACGACTAACGAAGATTTACAGTTTTTAATGGATAAAGGTCCAAAAGTCTGGAAAAGTCCAAAGTTAATTGAAAATGCACAAAACAAGTAATTATCATACCCCTCAATAATTTTTTATATTGTTACATCTCCGTTTGTTAATTAATTTTCCGTAACTTCGTTCCAACGAAACTTTAGCGACACAAGTCCTTTCTTAATAAAACTAGTTAATTCTTTCTGAATATAACTTTACCGATACACTTATTTTCAACAGTCGCTCTATAACAAACGCTATAACAACGAGCGTTAACTTCAAGAATACTTTCTGACTGCAGTTCAATTACTCACTACCTACACACATGGTCACGTCACGCCGTGACCATCTTATATATACCAGACCACCCCAATCTAGCAAATGCTAGAGCACTCCCGAAGGAACAGGATAGTTCTAGAAAACCGGTGGCATGATACTAATCACGTGATCTTGCTGACGCAACAATATACTTGGAATAAGAAATAGAAATTAAAAGTAATTCTATTTAGAAACTGGGTAAATAAAGTTAAAAACATAATCAATAAACGCATAACATACTTTAAAAATTCACTATTAATAACAACGAATTGGTCATGAGTAAAAAAAAAGAAGTCATATATCATTTAGATTATTTATATAAGAGATACATCATCTCTCCCGCAGATAAAGCAGCTAACAACCTTGTTCTT